GGAGGTGCTGGGGGGATGGGGGGCTTCTAGAATTTGGAGCAGTCACGAGCTGCTTTTTTTTTTCCCCCTCCTTTTTACGGTAAGACAACATTTGGTGGACACATGTCCGTCTCTCTTACACAAAGCAGAATGTCCCCCTTTAGCACACTTTGGAGATTGCTTTTCCTTCCTTGGGCTGTTTTTCCTGTCCTGCTCCATGTGTCTCCTAATATCTTTGCTATCATCATTTGAACTTCTGGCTTCTCCCTGAGCAGTCAGAGGGTGGCCAGTGAGAGCCTGAAAGCCCTCTGCTCTGAAAACCTGTAAACACAAATGGAAAAGCTGGGGTTCAAGGGGGGGGGGAAGCAGGGGGCAGGCAGCCTTTCCTGTTCAGCAGACTGGTTTTGTGCTGAGCAGCCTCTCCCTGCTCTCTGGGCAAGCTGGACGCCAGCTTTTCAGCTGATAATAAAGATATTTCACGGGATCCTAAAGGGCTTGGATGGCACGGTCTTTAAAGGTGAATTTAGGCGCCCGAACCCGACAGGCTGCAGGCGGTTTGTCTACACGGGGTTAGGAACGCCTGGAGGAGAGGGGGTGTGGGATCCTCTCGGGGTCAGAGCAAGGGGTGGCCTGCTAATTCCATACCTTCTGATCCGTACTGGCGACTGGAAAGAATTTCTACTGATTCAAATGATTCAAGGAATTTAGGCAAGAAAAGTGACATCCCTTCGCCTTAATGTCTGCTTGAGAACGTAACGTTCAGTGCACGCATGTACCCGCAAACACCGCCTTTCCAACATATGTTCACCCGTCCATATATCCGTAGATCTGCCCGTCCATCCACCCCATCCATCATCTGCACCTCTGTCCGAGCCCCACCCAAAAAGAGTCTTTTTTTTTTTTTTTATATAGTCCCACGCAAACTTTCCTTCCCAATTCAGCCCCATCACAGGAGGCACAAGGTTCCTTTTTCTGAAGTACCACCATTCCTCACCCCCCAGTGCTGTTTCAAGGGGGGGAATAAAAGCAGACCAAGACAGCCAGAGCGAGGGGAGTTTGCAGTGCAGCTCAGGTACGGGACACCCCGGCCAGGAGGAGATGCCTGTATGGGTGACAGCCAGCGGGATGGCACCGGGCCTGTGTCACCGCAAGGGAGCGGGGACTCGAGGGACTGGATTTTGTTGCTGGCAGGACAATATCACCCCTCCTCCCCTCCCCATCGCTCACAAGAGACGCTCTCCTCTCTCTCTGTGAGACCCGCTTTCTACCTGCAGCTTATAGCGTGGTTGTGGGGCGAGGTGTGTGATTTTTAATTTATTTTTTTTACAAGCTGGGTTTTGGGGCTTTTAGAGGGTTGGTTTTTTTCCCCCCTCATGGTGTTAACCTCCAGCTTCCTGTGAGGTATTAGGAGGCATCACTGGCTACCATTTTATAGCCTGGAAGGGGCCAC